TTTTGACAAGCACACAATAACAATATAATACAAGTATATACACGTAGAAGCCGTAAAACGCCGACACTTGGGCTTTATGAATCGTGTACAACATGGGGTGCTGAGAGTTTAATGGCCATAATTTAATCGCACCAAAGATAACGAGAAATTATCATGCGAGGATTAACGTGTTGCAATCGCAGAGGGTGAACACGTCGTGATCTCGCGCGAAAACGCAATACGTACAATTTGACTCTATTAAATAAGGATCAGAGATTATCGCAGCGTGTCGGGGAGATTGTATATAGGTACATACGCTCCTCGGCACTTATATTATATAGCATATACGAAGACGCGAAATTGATGACGAGATATTTTTAGTCGTGCATCGAGTACGGAGGTGTATACTAATTATGCTTTTTATTGGCAAGATCACAGCACAAGCTCGGGTTATCGGTTAACAAATGCACGTTTCAGATGCTCGATTATGAAGGTATGATTCTTTTTTTTTTTTTTTTTTTCGCCATCCCCAAAGGAAGCGAGTGTCTTGTCGGAGGGGGGGGGGAGATGTTAGACTTACTTAATGGCTCATCAGTTTGTCTGTTTAACAAACAACATACAATGACATCGGAAAATGTGAGAAATTCAGTATTCCCATCCATTCGAATGTACTTGTATCAGCTCATGGCTGGTGTTGGTGAAACAAAAAAAAAAAAAAAAAAAAAAAACGATGCTCGATTCAATTTAATTTAGTAAAACAGCAAAAATAAGGGCAGATATGCCTTATATTTATATACACGATGGCAAAGATTAATTTTCTCGTTACCTCAATAAAAGAGAGGGAAAAAACCAAATAAATTCCAGCCACAACCCAAAAATCCTCAGGCTCAATTGAATGATGAAAAAAAAAAAAAAAAAAAAAGCAAACGTACAAAGGAGGAGGAGAAGAGGCGAAGGAGAATCCTCGTTTAATCCGAATTCCTCGCGTTCTCCGGTCAGCGGTGATGGCCCGAAACGAAGAAAACGCCGCGAGTCACATGATCCCCCGAAAATTCCGCCCAGCCGAGCGTCAAACCCCGACAATACAATCCAACCGAGTATCGGAGAGAGATTTTTCAGTCTCTCCGCTGAAGCTGCGATTCGACAAATTCTCGGCGTGCCTCTCGACGCGCGCCACGGAAAATGGGCCACTCTCCGATGCAGGATGCTCACTCGCGCGGTACTGTATACATATATACGCATTCTCTCGATTTTCGGGCGTGCACCAAATGGCCCGCAACTGCATATACTCGTACCCGCACTGCCTTTTGTACGCTTTTTACGTTCTGCGATCGATGCATCCATGTATACTTATATGGGAAAGGAAAAAAGACGGACTCTCCGCTTGGGAAACGAATTTTCTTTTTTTTCACAGATTACATTGGAACGTCTCGAGACGCGCTCTTCGTCAGTACGAGAGTATACAAAGCATTCGATCGATCAACAAATGACGAAACGCGTTGTCTCTATCTGCGAGAAATGAAAAAAAAAACAAAAAAAAAAAAACAGTGGGTGTACAGTTTTCCAAAACAATTGACGAGCCTCGGATTCCAGCGCGTTTTTGGCACGGAGTCCAGCGAAAACACGGGGATGGAAACGGGATATTTTCGGAGATCCGCCTTCGAAGGGCACCCAATAATATAGTATAAATATACATATATTTACGCGCATCGAATTTTCAAATGAATGTATATAAATATATACACACGCGCGTGCGCCTCTGGAGATGCGGTCGCGGAACGGCCTCCGCGTTATCTAATCGGGCGTGAAATCGCGTCGCTTCATCGGAATGTGGGTGCGATTCGAAAAAACCAACTGTATACGAACGAGCGGACCGGATTTCTTTGTGCGCCTCGGGTTTTTTTTTTTTTTTTTTTTTTTTTTTCCTCCTCTCTTTCACTCTGCACGCGCAACTGTATATACATACATATACGTACACCCTCGAAGCTGTGTACTTAACGCAGGGACCGATGAAATTCCGTCATCGGATGAAAAGGAAAAAGGCTACAATGGCCGTATATAGGGACTTGGGGGGAAAAAAGAGAAGGAAAGAAAAAAGGATAACAGAGCATTGACGTCCAACTTAATAAATTGAAGGAGAAAAAGAGTACATCGAAGAGGACGAACGTCGTCTCGGTCGAGGAAAGAAAGAGAGCCATCAGGCATCGGCCGGGCGTTTTTTTTTTTTTTTTCATTTCTCGCACGCTTTGCTGAGCAAGAGAATATTATACGTGTACAAGACGGCCGGCAAACGGCAGCTGTCAGTAGGACGAATGTTCGAAAGTATACGACCCACACCCATACCTGTGATATATACACGGATATATATTTATGTATACACACGCGCTAAAACATAATTACGGCGTATGCCTGTGTATGTAAGTGCAAATATGTACGCGCGTATTATCCCGTAGCGCACAACAGACGCGCGCAAAGCGATTGCTCCCTTTTTGCTTGTATCCGCGTGTATAAGCGCCTCCTTTTTTTCAACTTTTCTTCCTCTTCTCTCTTCACGAGTCACCGGGTCGAGTGTGTTTGGATACAATATACCGCGAAATCCGGATGTTATTCGCGTTACATGTCATGTATGCATGTATGTGGGTATATGTTAACCTCTGAACCGTACACTTGTACGATACATGTATGTATACGCGCCACATTACAAGAGACACGCTTTTATCGAGCGCTGAGATAAAAGCTCTCTGTTTTGGCTCTTTATATATATATGTGCTCGTCGAGTGATATAACACGTTGGATAAAAAGTATACGGATGTGCTTCGACGTTTCGTGTTGTTTAAAAATATGTACCTATACGTGTCGGAAACAACCGCGACACTATTGTTACGAGCACTCCGTGATTAATTTGTTGCACACCCCCCGTTGAAATATATGTACCTACGCCTTTTGCGATAGTATACAGTGTAATGTAATGGATACTCCGCGAGACTTTGACAATTCGAGAGTTACCTCGGAGGAGGATTTTACTCGCTTTCTTCGAACGATTTGGAAAAGTGTCAGCATTTGGCCATCAGGCGATTTTTATCAAAAAAATTCGAACGCCGTGCGCGCGTGTGTATAAGTACGAGTTGAAAAAAGAAAAAATTTGCGCCAACGCGCGCGATTGGCCAACAATAGGCTGTGCCCGTTTGTTCAAAGGATGACGACTTACTATATATTTACAAAGTATATATTATACAACGGTATAATACTTGCGAGACGTTTATTGCTTTCGTCGCGTTTCCTTGATGCCAGCGGTAAGTGTATAAAGTTGTGGTATATAGGAATACATATAATATGGGAGGAGAGGAGGGTAATAATATTTTCCACAAGTTGTACGTTTCTTTGTCGCGAAGAGCGTATAAATACAATGAGCTTCATGGTACCTTTATATATCAAGTATATAATATACGTATACGAGTACAGTAAACGTGTGGCCTTCGTGTACCTATATTATATACACAAGTGCATGAATAGTCGTCGTTTTGCCACTGCTCGCACATGTATATATATACACTGTTTCAACTTTCGCTTTGGGCTGATTATTTGAGTGTAATTGCAGTCGCGCGCTCACAGTGTGTATAAATATAGTGTGTTATACCGTGCACCACTTGTGTTAGGAAAAAAAAAAAAAAAAAAACGGCACCTGCATCCACTGCATTGGTGTGACGTTGCCTCCCTCCCATATTTTTTTTTTTTTTTT